GACGAGATCTCTCTCCTCTCCATCAACACCTCCGCCTTCTTCCTGGTAATTAAATTCGTCAAATTTTGTTTATTTAATAAATCGAATAAGTTTAGTTAAATCACATTTTATTAATCTCTGGTCAGAGTATAGATTTGGTTGACTTTGGTTTCTTTGAAGATTTAGTGTTGACCTCACTTGATTACCACTAATTATATATTGGTTCATATTCTTTACTAATTATAGTAAAAGTACCAGATTTGGTTTTATGTGAAATTATTATGCAAAATGGTATAATAAGTATTGGTAGTGAATTCAGATTTGGTAAGTGTATGATTTGACCATTCATGGACCCTTAATTTTTGGATGTATAATGTCTTCAGGACAACTATGGTGGATATATGGTGGCATTCGCGGGTCGGAAATATGCAGCGAGGTTGATTCCGGCTTTTATTGCTAATAACACGTTCATCGTAACCAGTTTTACTTTAGTAAAGCCTTTTTTTGTATATCATATCTTATACATGTTATGTATAGATTCATCATGAGATCTTATTTATGGTGTTGTTATGTTTTTTAAGGTGATGGAGTTTCAGAAAGGTAGGCTTCAAAATCTGTATTGGAAGAGAGACGGGTGTGCGTCGTGTAAGGGGAATCAAAATTTTGTGTCTTAACAAGCAAGATTGTGCGATAAGAACACCGACCTGTAAAGGTCGGGGAGGTTCAGTGGATTGCAGTCTCGGGATTCAGTTGGCATTTTTTGGCACTGATAAGCACTTGGCGGTTCTCAACTCGTGGTATGAAGTCGAGAATCTTAAGCAGTATTCTCTTTATGGTTTGTATTCAAACCTCAAGAGCTCTTTAACCAATCAGTTCAATAATTTCTTCTGAGCTTCTTGAGGAGTTGTGTTTGTTTGTTTGTTTGTTTGTATCACGTAAGTTAATCTCTTTGGTTACTCTCTAATGGTTTATGGAATGTAACACGAAATTGCAGAAGTAGTTATGGTTTGGTTCAACCACTTGTATTCAGAGTTAGTCAAGAGTCGAGCCATAGATACGTATTCGTAACACCATCAAATCAAATGTGTGTTCTCTTTTCTATGAAACCTGCAGCTTTCAGACAAAACTCTGGCAGCTGTATATACCAATACAATGAAAACTTATAGTCCTGTAATATAACATGTCTGATTTCTAGTGACAACACTTCATTTATCTTCTCAAGATCTTTGTCATTAACAGCTTCTCCTTGGCCTGTGTTTGCCTCATCTTGTGGCGTTTCTGGTTCCAACGCAAAGACAAATATATCCTTGAATCAAGACTTTTAAATATGTGCTTTTCTTGATTGCTTTATTCTATTTGACTATGTTGATGAAGCAAGATTGGTGACACCGAAGTAAAGAGTCTTCTGGTTGAAAGATTGGTGAAAGCATTCACGTACATAACATATGACAAATATTACGTACATGATCTATCAAACTAGTAAATCGTACACAGCCAATATATTTTAATAATGGCGTATAACTGTACGTACACCTAGCAAATACTAGTAACACGTACAGAGGCAAGATAGTAGAAGAATACGTACAAATGTACGTACATGTTTCCAATAGTTTATTAATCATAGTGAAGTAATTTGAAAACGACAACAACTTTATGTAGTTTAATAAACAATATTTAATGTAAATGTAGTATTAAATAATAATGGAAAAATGGGTAAAGAAACCCTCACTTTTTTTTTTTAAACATAGAAAAAACCCTCAACTTTTTTTGTGAGTTTTTAAACCCTCACCTTTTTATAAATGGTTAAATAAACCCTAATATTAATAAACTTAATTTATTTTTTTTTAAATCTTTATATTAAAACAGTAAGAAACAAAAATAATTTAATTTATGATTTTTTATTTCAATTTTTGATTTTATGATTTTTTTCTAAAATTAGGCTTTTTGCGCTATGAACATTTATTCACCATTTAATTGAGATTAGGCAAATTATTTTTGTTACAATTACAAGTTAAGTTATATAAACTACAAAAATTTATACGATATCACATTTGATTTTTTTTTTATTCGAGTGTTCAAGTTTTGGATAGAAAATATAGTTAAATAATGATTAATTAAATATAATTTATATTATATTTTAATATATATATCGTAATATATATATAGAAATATTAATTATTAGTAAATCTTAATTAGTTTGTCCAATGAAAATATTTTGATGTGGAAATTCATGTACTTTTCGTAGTATTATAAAATTTGGTTTGGTTTTACGTTAGTAAATTTGTGTGATCGAACATAATAAACCTTTATTAATAAAAAGTCATATTCGGTTTTGGATATAAGAATTTACATATAATTCGTAATAAAATCTGTTTGGTTTCACTTTGATGAATTTTTGTAACACACTGAACAAAACTTCACTAGTTAACTTTTTTACATCATGACTTACATATTTTCAATTTAGAAAAATATTGTAAACTAGAATTTTAGAAAAATTACCCTAAATCAAATTGTTTCTATTTATTTATTTTTTAGTATAACTATTTTTTTGAATTTAAATTAAGTTTATTAATACTAGGGTTTATTTTACCATTTATGAAAATGTGGGAGTTTAAAAACCCACAACAAAAATTGAGACGGTTTTTTCTATGTTTTTAAGAAAGGTGAGGCTTTTTCTACCCATTTTTCCAATAATAATAAGACAGGGGATAAAAAATCCGTCTAACTAAAAAACGACCATCTTGATCTCTTCCACTTCCAGTGTATCCGGATCAGCAAACACCTTTGAGACAGGACCATGAGTCACAATCTTCGAATTAGCTCTATCGGTTAAACGCCAGAAGACGAGTGCGACAACAATATTGCGCTGACCAAAACTCCGAAAGTAAGTTTGGCTAAATCAATGAATACTGGAGCAGCATCATTATCGAGAATCTCCAACTCGCCACCATGTAATGAAGAAAAGCCATTATACATTTCGTAAGCCTCAGCTGCGGTAACTAGCCGATTATCATTCAGTGTCCCACTTGCGGAAGGTCAATAACATCATCCCCAGTCACTTCGTCTATAATATTAATATTGGTATCCGTGTTACCTTCGCAGCCTGTATCTTGTACACATTCTGTAGTGTACGTACATTGGTACAAACCATGTTGACACGTATGTCTTGGAGTCACGGTTGGTGTACAGTCACCCGAATGAGAAATGTTCTCTCCGCCAGGTACGGTAACTAGCCGATTATCATTCAGTGTCCCACTTGAGGAAGCGCCAATACCATGGTCGATAACATCATCCCCAGTGACTTTGTCTATACCATTAATATTGGCATTCGTGTTACCTTTGCAGCCTGTATCTTGTACAAATTCTGTAGTGTACGTACATTGGTACAAACCATGTTGACACGTACGTCTTGGAGTCACGGTTGGTGTACGTTCACCCGAATGAGAAATGTTATCCCCGCCAGGTACACGTTGTCTTGTGTACGTACACTCTGCCAATAGACGACTGAATTCCCCTGGATGTTGAACAGTTTGTTGAGTGAGAATGACGTCCTCCTCAACATTCCCTATTCCATATTCTTCTACAATTACATCGTTCCACTTGTTGTAATCGTAATCTTCGCCACTACCTTCACTACCGTCTATAGTAGGATCGAGGGTACTTCCCCCCATAGATCCATGGTCACCCTGATAATCATCATACCCATCACCATCTTCGGTGTCCTCCTCCTCTTCATCCTCATCTGTTTTATCGTCTTGTACGTCGTCTTGTTCATCTACGGCCTCATTATTTGCATCCACATTTGAAGCCGCTACGATAGGATTTGGTGTCTTTGCACTCCCACACACACGGTCACTTTCAGCATCGTCACCATCAGTCCTAGGGACATTATTCCCGAGTGCCTTGACGGTTGTAATGAAAGAGATAAACAAATTGACACTAGGATCCCCACCACGAATCAAAAAGAACGTATTCAGGCTCATTTGATTGATAATGTAGACAGGAGGGCGTTTACTTTCTATCATGATTGACATCTTTCCCGGCATCCAGTAACTAATTATGGGATTGCATTCTGTGGACTTCAAACTGAAAACCTCGTATAATGTACGTACAAATTCCGTGTACGTCATGTTTTCCTTAACACGTACACAACGACCAAACATGCCTTCCTCTGGTTCAAATTTCCATTCTTCTTCTTTGCATCTCCACTCACCCACCGTAGTAAATACGGGAATATCCATTACCCACCTACATCATAAATTCAGCAGAACCCCATTAAATGCAACTGAATACATGATTATATCTACAAAAAACAAAAAGAATTTCCAACTACACACTTATAAACATATATATATTTCCTCTGAAATAAAAATTTCTGGGTTTTTATATAAAAAATAATGTTAATTTCGAACACAATCAAGATCCTACTGTGTTATAACAAAAAACTTCTTAACCAAATGCATTACTTACACGATCAATGCTTGTCTTGGCTCCACACTTTGTAAATCAACAGGATCAAAACTTCTCCAGCATCACATTCGTTCAGACTAATTTTTTTGTTTGATGGTTTATGCTTATCTCTTACAATTATTCAATGAACACGTATAAACTAATATTACAACAAGTGTAATGATGAGTTTTGCATTAAATGTGACAAGAGTCTTGTCTAAACTTTTTAGCCATTAAATACTGATGTCTCCTTCTTTTTTAATATTATTATTTCTCCTTTTCACTGTACAGCCGCACAAAACCCATGAAAAAACGAAATTATCTTAACCAAACCGGAACAGTGTACCTAACTGAACCGCTTAATTGAACCGTACACGGAACAGTACGTCGGTACGCTGACAGGGGTAAAATGGTCAGATTTTGGCTAAATTGTCAAAACATGAAAACCAATTCTCACTTTGCCAAACCATGAAATTAAAAGATGGTCTTATGCCCTGCCATGCAATTTACCCTATTTTTTACTAGTTTTGTCAAAATATTTAATTTTCCTTCTCGGCGTTTACCAACCAAATAAATAGAGGGCCAAAGGTGGTAGATGCATGAGCCTCTAACACCACCACAACTCCAACACAATTAAATTCGTCTCTCTATCTTTCTCTTTATCTCTCTCTTCTGTTCAATAACAAAATCCAGAACTACATGAGACCTTGTTTTCACTTACCACCTTCTTAGAGGTATCTCATTTATTTCCTTAATTTCTCAGATTTTCCGGTCTAACTCTTGAACCGGTCTCTGTTTTTTTATCACCTAAAGCTCTGATTTTGATACAATGGGTTTGTTTCTAATGAGTTTGTGTACAATGGGTGTGTTTAGTTTTATCGTTGTTGTTTCTGTTTCTGTGGAGAAGACTAATCTATTCTCATATTTGGCTTCTTGTGTGTGTTTTTTTTGTTCTCTTCTTGATTGGTCAGATCGTTTCCTATTGAGTGGATCAAATCCCAAGCCTTAAGAGCCCATTAACCCATCTTCTGTTGACTCTGGTTTCTAGATTTAGCTTACGTTTGTGAGAATCCATAAAAAGGTGGCCGTGGTAGGTTTTGTTCTTATTGAGGGGTTGACTTGATTTGGATAAAAAGTCTTCCTTTTTTTTTATTGATTAGTCACCAATTTCCCTTTTCATCGAGAACAGATTCATATCTTCACGTACTTTGATGGGTTTGATGAGCTGTTTAATTAGACTTTTGAAGAAACTAAAGTAGTTGTTCTTGTCGGATCTACATGTTAACTTTTACACTTTATGGTCTCAAAACACCAAAAATATGGTTAATGAGGCTTTAAGTTGACATATTTTGTGTAATCTTACTTAATTTAGACGTATGGTGCTTCTATGTTTCTTTGATATGTGCTTTGTTTGTGGCTATAGGAGAAAAGTAAAACATTCACGATATGGTGAGCTTACGAAGACGTAGGCTATTGGGTCTTTGTTGTGGTAAACAATGTTCTTGACTAAATGATATATAGTCTAAGATTAGGCATAATGATCAACTAGTTTTATTTCTCTAGGACCAAATGGTTATGTGACGCCACTTCCATTTTTAACTGCTGAGGAGATGATCACTGGGATTCCAAATCCTAATGCCAAATCAGCTTATAATCCCGGGCCAGCAGAAACGTTTAAAACGGCTATAGAGGTACGGAATAAATATTTTGAGTTTATGGTTTTGCTAATTGTATATCGAGGTTACTTTAACAAATGTGTAAGGGCTAATGCAAGGGGATTACATATAAATTACTCACAGCGTCCTAAAGGCTCTTATATACTTTTTTTCCGGTAAAAACATTATAAGTTTGAAAATCTATGCAATGTTACATTAATGCGATTCAAGTGGTCTAATATATCGATCGTAGTACTGGATATTTATGTTCTCGTATGTCATTTAATATGATCGGTAAGACATGAATGGACGCAATATGTAGTGGTGATATATATCCCTTTTGTGTTACTTTAGCAGTTTAGACTGCTTTAGTCATATTCCAGTGACCAACAGAGAGGACATCAGAATATATACTCCATTCTAACAATTAAGCCTTACTTCTTTTTGTTTGGCAGAAAATGGCTATTGAAGAAAGGAGCCGAATAACTCGGTCGAAACATATGCATTTCAGGTCTGATTACTCAGATATCTCACCGGTTAATTCCGATTCCATCTCACCAAAATGTGAGTAGAACATATGCGACTGAGGACTAATATCTTGTTTGCTTACTAATTGATTGGGTTGAGTGAGAATTGACCAATTATTTCATATTATTTATCTCCCATTTATAGACCAGCCGCCGAAACGAAGAAAGCAGCATAGAAGAAAGCGAGTACATAACCAAGAACCATGTTTGATGAGAGGAGTCTACTTCAAAAACATGAAATGGCAAGCCGCCATTAAAGTCAAGAAGAAACAAATCCACTTAGGCACTTTCTCTTCACAAGAAGAGGCTGCTCGTTTATATGATAGGTAAAACTCTTTTGTTGTCTTTTGCAATCATTTGATTCCAGAAACTTCAAGTAAATCATTGCCATTGATAATTATCACCTCTATTAGGGCTGCTTTCATGTGTGGGAGGGAACCAAACTTTGAGATCTCGGAAGAAGATAAACGAGATCTTAAACAGCGAAGCTGGGAAGAGTTCTTGGATTGCACACGCCGAACAATTACAAACAAAAGTAAGGTTTTACTAACAATAAAATGTAGTATATTTTGTTTGATAACCTTTTGGTGGACTCTCTGGATATGCAGAACCAAAGATTAGGATAGACCATGAGGATAAGGAGATCAATGCGAGCATGCCACATCAACCAGAAGAAGAAGAGCAAGACTAAGACCAAATGTGATAAATTGTGCCAAAGATACAACCAGAGTCATATACAAAGACCAAATGTGATAAATTGTGCAAAAGATACAACCAGACTCATATACGGAGATAATTATTATTCATCAAAAGAATAGTAATATATATATATATATAAAAGCATAGTCGTAAAAAAAAAATAACATCATTCATAGAAGAGTAAATTAAGAGAAAAATTAGAGACTCGCCATTAAGAATATGGAAACTAATAGTTCAACTACTTTTATTTCGAAACAATGGCTGGAAAGCCACTTTCTAGGGAAAAATAGGCTGGAATGCCACCCTTCTATTTTAGTATTATTATATGAATTAGATTTAAATCCACAATTATGAAAAGACCAAAAAACCAAAGCCAATATCTAACGTCAGACCCGTTTCGATTTATTTGACCCAAGCCCAACATAATAACTGATTATTTCGATCGAAAGCCCATTGGACCAAGCCCAACAGAGAGATAAAAACAAAAAAAACACGAAACGGTTTCGTTTTCTCTCATTCCCGATTCTCTTCTTCTCCGAAAAAAGAGAAAAAATCCTAACTTCTCCGATTTCACATCTTCTTCTCCGATTTCTTCTCCAATTTCTTCGATTTCTTCTCGCTTATCTCTGTCGCAGTCGAATTTTGCACCGCCGTTGAAATTTCTGGGGAATTTTGGCATGGATCGTGTTAAAGACGCCATAGGTGAATATGAATCTACGGCGGCGAATCCGAGAGAACTAGCGGATTCAAGTACCGTGGTCGACCGTACATAAGCAACCAGAGATCCGAGAGAACCAGAAGATGCTGAACCTGGAAGTAAAACCGTTGGGATGCAAACTGATCCGACAGAATAAGCAGCAGTTGATGCTTCCGAGAGTGAACCTGGAAACAAAATCGTCGAGTTGGAAAGGAATGATGCTGAAGGACAAGCAGCAGTTGATGATTCCGATATTCAACTTGGAAAAGAAAGTCCGATAGAACCGAGTACCGAAGCAGTAGAGGCTGCAGAGGAGGAACTCGTGGATGCATCAGAGGAAGAGGAAGAGACCGTTACTGCTCAGGTATACATTAGTCTGAGAATGGATTTTTGGTATTCATGGTACAACTAGTTCAACTACTGAATTAGGTTGTCTTTGAATATGAGTATATATAGTTTTGAATTTATTTCTTGGTATAATTGAATCGGAGAATATATAGGTTTGAATTTATGTGTCTTGATACAACTAGTTAAACTTCTCCCGATTATATATATGTTTGAATTGTGTGTTTTAATATAACTAGTTCAACTACTTAAACTCAGGGATTGTGTTTTGAATATGCAGGATACATTGGAGGCCGAGGAAGAGGATGATGCTACTGGTAATGCTGGTGAAGAGGATGAGGATGGTAATGTTGGTATTGGTAAAGATGGTATAGGTGCTGGTAATGATGAAGCTAGTAAGGATGGTGCTGGTAATGATGATGATGATGATGAAGATGATTCTCAGCCACTGCCGCCAGAGAAGATGTTTTTAGATAGTTCAGAATACACCCAAGGGTGTAAAATAGGAAGTAGGTGTAATGTCACTGAGACAGTGAAGTGGATAGAGAAAGAGTTTAAAGAGGAAGCCGGATGGTTCAGAAGCCACCCTCAGTTCAAGCATATATTCCACATGCCTAGGGTGCCAAACCACATGACTCAAGGCATGTGGATGCTTATGCTGCGCACAGTTGAGACAGATATGGTGAGGGAGTGCTGGTTTGTGGTTAATGGAGTACCTATTAGGTACTCCATCAAAGAGCATGCGTTGCTAACTGGGTTTAATTGCAAGGGATACCCGGAGAAACATGAGAAAATAGGGAATGAGAAGTTTGTGAAGAGAATTTTCAGAAGGACTGAGAAGATAAAGGCATCTGATGTTTTAGCTAAGTTGAAGGAGAAGTAGAGTTGGAAAGGAGATGATAAGAAGAAGTTACTAGTCTTGTATTTCCTATGCAAGGTAGTAAAAGCAAGCTCAAAAAGTGATGGAAACATAGAATCCTTTCTCTTAAGGATTGTTGATGATTTGGATGCATGTGAGACATATCCATGGGGCCGCTATTCATTCTTCGAATGTATGAAAGGGATTCGTAATATGATGAAGAATTTGAATGGGTCTGTCAAACCTAAAGCTCAACCTAGCTTTAGTGGATTCATTGTACCTCTGGACGTAAGCCTTTGTTTTTGATGTCTGAGTATTTGAAGTTGTATATATGGTTTTATGATATTAACTGTGTGTGTTTTTTTGTAGATTCTGCCTTATGAGTGTATTCCACATCTTGGACTGAAATATAGAGTACTTGTACGTGCAGCAAATGACTATCCAAGGATGTGCAAGCACAAGTTTAAAGAATCTGCCATGAAAGGTATCCCTTTGGAAGAATTATATCAAGAGCTTGGGACTAGTAAGGTTAGAATTTCTGTCTTCATTAGATTATTTGGTTTGTGTCATGTATTTGAGAAAGAGTGTAAGTTAAATGTATGTGTATTCACAGGATATTGACAGCATCTTGGTACCAGACCAATATGAGAAATCTCTGTTGGCTGGAATCATTGAAGATAATGTTGATGATGGTCTAGGGCATATTGATATCATTGTTGACAGTTGGAGAGAGCGTCTAGTAGAAAAGAAGAAAGAGATATGGTGGGAAGGAATGTACCAGCTGGACCAAGCGTCCCGAGAGATTGGAAATAAGTTTCTTGAGAATGAAGACCCTTCTCAAGAAGTCCCTGAGCAAGAAGTCCCTCAATGTGACTTCCCTGAGAAAGAGAGTGCTGATTTGGCGGCTGTTGTTGCATCTATTACCTTACTAACATAGGTGGTGAACAATGGCTTTCAAGACATTCAAGAGAAGTTTAAGGACATGGACAATAGAGTGAAGACTCTTGAAGTGTCTGTGGCAGCTCAGGGATATCATAGTCCTCAGTATCCGGCATATGGGTCGCCTCTGGAAACACAATATGGGACAAGGACTAATTTTGAGTGTGGGCAGCCGAGTCAAACCATGGATTTGGTTTTGTATAATCCCATTTCTCCAACTGTTCCGGAACAAGGTAAGTGTAGAAGTTTCTTGGTTATTTATTGAACTTTTAAAGTGGACTAATAAACTGTTTTCTTTGTACATTGTATGAAGGTGATGAGGAGGAGAAAAAGAATGAGGAAGAGATGAAAGGAAAAGAGAAGAAGAAGGGCAAGAAGAAGGGCAGGAAGCCGCAAGAGGGTGGACCTGTAATAGCAACCGGACAGAAGCGAACAAGGGCAGCTTCCCAACATATTAAGACATCATTTGTGGAAGTGCAGCCAAAGAGAAGGAGAAAGAAGTAAGAACTGTGGTTGATGTGTGCTGGTGGTGTAGGAAAAAACTTTGAAATCTTTTGGACACAATTATTTGTGTTTTGAACTATTAGGAACTATGGTTGTTATGTAGGAACAATCTTTTGGACATAATTTGTGTTCTCGGATTTACTATTTCTTGTTACTACTAGGAACAATCTTTTGGACATAATTTTGTGTTTGAACTACTAGGAACAATCTTTTGGACATAATTTATGTTTTTGGATTTACTATTTGTTGGTCTAACTGGTCAAGTCAGTATAACTGGTGGTACAACTGGTGGTACAACTGGTCAAGTCGGTACAACTGGTCAAGACGGTACAACTGTGTTTATTCGGTACAACTGGTTAAGACGGTACAACTTCATGGTACAACTATGTCAAAGCAAAGGCAAATTTAGAAATAAAACTTGGTCAAATACTTTTTAAACATTGTCAAATAAACATTGTTATACCAAGTAGCTAGCATTGTTAAAATAGTTAAACATTTAGCAATTATGTTTTACATAAGGAAATACAACAAACTCGGTTTCTTAAGTCCTACAACCAACTACCACTTAGCTAGCAACTCCCTCAGCTTGCCAATCTCAGTTTCTTTCTCCTCCAAACGCTTCTGAAGATCATCGACTTGAGCACGCATTATTCGAACAGACTCGCGAAGGGACTCCAACATAGGATTTTGGTAAGCGTGGTGGATTGATTTTTTCTGGGTTTCAAATTTGTTATGGACACAGTAAACTTCTCATTAACCGCATCATCCCACCACTTTTGAAGGTGTTCTCCACCATCCTAAGCATAAGCATCTTTCATCAATCATAAGAAAAATGAATTCATCATCAACAATAATTACCAAAAATTCATCATACCTCAAAATTTGGACATTTGTATTCTTTTCTTCCTTGATTATTGCTAGTGGTACACATAACAAGCTTAACGTAGGTTCCACAGAAACAATATCTCGGAATACTCTTATTACCGTCAGCTCTTGCCCAACTCATATCCTCACTCGGCTCCGAGTCGGAGCTTTGAGTATAACTGATTGGCATTCTCACTGCAGAAAATCAAGAAGAATCGGAAATTTTAAAACCCTAGATAAAACCCTAGATCCAAATCCGAATCGACAAACCCAAACCCTAGATCTATGAATTACAAATCAAAAACGGATAACCCTAGATCTTATGGAATTACAAATCAAATAAGAAAACCCTAGATCCAAATCCGAATCGACAAACCCAAACCCTAGATCTAGGAATTAGAAATCAATTAACCACCAACCTTGTTAGAAAGCAGTTGTTCGCCGAAATCTCTGCTCTCGCCGCCGGAATCTACGCTCTCGCCGCCGGAAATTTTAGAAAAAAATCTCTGGGTTTCGAAAATGAAAGAGAGAGAGAGAGGCTCGAGAGTTAAGGTAAGAGAGAGAAGATATTTAAGGTAAGAGAAGACTTCGAAAACCCTAGATCTATCTTCCTTTTCTTTTTAAAAAATATTTAAAAACAAAAATTCTTTTAATAAAAAATTGAGTTTGGCGGCTGTACTTATTTAATAGTGGGACCCATGATGGCTGAATATACTCATAATTGTTCAGTTGTACTAGGAACAACATAGTTGGACTTTTAACACTTTTTCTTGTTTGCAGTTGGACTAATATTTAAATAATTAATTATCAGTTGGACAAATGATTTCTCTGAATTATTTGGCATATCCAAGGTTTAAATAATATTATACTTACCAAATAATTGTTTTCACGTCTTTCACTACGATTTAGGTTATCTTATAGTAAGTATCCCTTATACTAGAAGGGGTTGTTTGTGTGAGAACATCATTTTCCATAGATTTTTTAAAAAGTTGTATTCGAATGTTTAAATTTTCTTTAAAAGTTATTTCTATTATGATTCTATTATAGAATTATTCTTTTATTAATTTTTTTTTTTAAAATGTTATTTTATAATACTAACGTAGCTGTACAAGTTGAACCAGTTGAATAGTGAATGCAAAACTTATGTAACATATTGAAACTTACTTGCAATAGATGAACTCAGTGTAGAACTGAATACAAATACAACTTAAAACAAACAGACATGTTCTTAGCTGAACTCAGTTGAACCAGCTGAATTGTTAATGCACATGCGAGAAATACAAGTAAAGCACAGAAACTAAAGTTAACCATTCTCATTATTGGGAGGGGGCTGCAACTAACTCTCCAAGTTAATGCCAGGCTGAGCCTTTTTTTGGGTCCTCTTTCGTCGCTTTTCCCCGGTGGATGGAAACCGGGTTTCTTGATTTCTTCCTTTCTTTGGTTTGTAATCCGCCGGTTTTGCTATCTTCTCCTCGTAGTCAGCTGGAAAAGTCCATTGAGACTCATGCGGTACAACGTAAATCGTTTTGTAATATGCCAATGCCCACGTCTCGATCAAGTAATATTTCGAACAAAGACCATATATGCTTACTTCCGTTGTTCTCGAATCATTCCGACAATGCTTGGCTGCGGATATACCATGGATACAAGGGTACTTGTCTATATCAAAACACCTACAAGTACAAGATTTCATATCCAAGTCCACCAAATATGTTAAACCATCAACTCCAATTACGCTATATTCGCGTTGGTAGCTGTTAAGCTCAGTGACCGTCAACTTCGCAGCTATAGGACATCGGATATGTAATATATTCTCCACAACAGGCACCACTTGCGTTGTGTTCGATGCATTGGTAGAATCTTTTCGATGTTTGTTGAACCATTCAGAAAACTTCTCCAATATCGCATCAATCATCGGTAATAGATGGTACTTCCTTACTTCCCTAAACACAGTGTTCATTGACTCCGCGGAGTTGCTAGTATCTATGTTGTACTTGTCTCCCTCAGCATGACTCCTAGCCCATTTTTCAACCCCAATAGAATTATCCAGATATTCAGCAGCTTTAGGATACCTTCTCCTAAAATCACCATAATGAATGTTGAACTCGGTCTTAGTATATACATGAGCGCATTCCTTGAATTTCTCAACACCTACGTCCTTGTCCCTAGTCAACTTTGGCCTAAGGTTTTGGGATAAATGCCATATACAATGACCATGTGATGCATTTGGAAACACATCCATCACTCCCTTGATGATGCTTTGATGTCTGTCGCTTATGAAAACCAAACCATCTTCATCCGGTACTACCTTTCTCAGCATTCTAAAAAACCAATTCCAACTAGCATGATTCTCACTATCAATTACACCAAACGCAATGGGGTAATGGTAACGATTAGGATCTTGAGCTGTTGCAATAACTAACATCCCACCATATATAGTTTTCAGAAAAGTTGCATCAATCACTAACACTTTCCTCATTGCCTTAAACCTTTCAATGCTTGCGCCTAAAGCGATAAATAGGTACTTGAACCTCTCTTCTACATCCAATTCCACTTCCGTTACTGTCCCATGATTCACCTCTCTCAACAAGTGGAGATAAGCATACAACATCGTGTAGCAAGCTTCAGAGTTCCCACGCATATCACTAACATGTTGTTTTTTTCCTTTCAAGGCGGTGGAGTAGGAACAATCCAAACCAAGTCTTCCTTTAACAAGAGTCATGATGGTTTTAGGATCCGGTGTTTTCAAATGACCACGGAAGTCCTCATGCAAAACACTTACTACTGATCGTGGTGTGCCTTTTTGTTTAAAATATCTAGTACTCTCCTCACACGTAGAGCATGTATGCATGTTTTTGTGAACTCTTACACTCCAAAAATCAGATTTTTGTATTCTGGAAACTCTTAAATACCATTCACAACCCATGAAATCTTGACTGCATTCAATCGTAAGTCACACCGGGTCCGACTTTACACATCTCACACCAAACAAGTTTGTCTTTGCAGCTCTATTAACCAAATCCCATATTGCCTCCTTAGAAGGAAATTCTTGATCTTTTTCCAGATCCATACCATCTTCCCATTCTTTAACTGTTTTCTCACTTAGTTGTACAGGCCGTGAAAACTCAACATATTCATGCCTAACATCATTCTCACAATCTTCATTTACACCATTCTCTATCATGAGCTGTTCAATAATCGGTTCATGAACTATAGCAGGCTGTGTCTCTTGTTCTGATGTTTCCCCCCATCTAAACGTACTCAAGATTGCTTGATTATTTACATCATCAGTCCTTAGATCATCAGTCCTTACATCATTGGCAGCCGCTTCCCCATAATTCAAACCGCATGAACTTCTTCTCTCTACTCTTGGTACTTGCTCCACCATCTGATTACTTTCAAGATTGCATAACTCCACATGCAAAACTGGTCTTAATCCCTCTTTATCCAATGATGTTAAGAATATACAAACATCCTCATCATCTAAAATATAAGACTCTCTCCTTCCTTTACATATCATGTAACTCAATTTCAGCTTCCTTCTCGCTCCATCTATACCAATCTTCTTACAGATCTTATCTACTAACACCGCATATGTTATTCTCTCCAAAGATGTTGTAAACCTGTTGCAACACCAATGGACTCCACTGTTCACTTACATGCAGAGAGTGGGGATATTTTACCAGATGCAACAGTTTACAGAGCTTTAATAGGAAAACTTCTATATCTTACAATCACCAGAGCAGACATTACTTATGCAGTTCATAAACTGAGTCAATTCTTAGCTCAGCCAAGAACTCACCATCTAGAAGCAGCTCATCGTGTGATAAGGTATTTGAAAGGAGATCCGGGTCGTGGATTGTTTTATTCTGCACATTCTGAGATTCGTTTACAAGCTTTTTCAGACGTAGACTGGGGTACATGTCAAGATACAAGACGATCTATGACGGGTTTCTGTGTTTTTCTTGGAGGTTCATTGATTTCTTGGAAAGCAAGAAGCAATAGACTGCCTCAAGAAGTAGTGCAGAGTCATAATACAGAGCTTTGGCTGATACAACTTGTGAATTGCTGTGGTTGAGTAAACTCTTGAAGGATCTTCATGTTCACATCAGTGGTCCTGCAACTATATACTGTGATAGTACTGCCGCAATTCACATAGCCTCTAATTCAGTTTTTCACGAGCGCACAAAACATATTGAGATTGATTGCCACATAGTTCGTGATAAACTGAGAGCTGGTTTTCTGAATCTCATGCATGTTACCACCGATAATCAGCTAGCTGACTTGTTTACCAAAGCTTTACCTCCCAAGACATTCAAGCTTCTCATGTCAAGATATGCATTTTCAAGTCTCT